ACTAAAAGGTTGTTATTGGCAGATATTAAGGACACTTACCGCTGAGGTGATACGATTTTATAGATGAACTGAGGGGAGAAAACGCTTTGTTTTCCAACGCCGTTCTTAACGCCATAAGCTTACAGCCACAGCAGGAGTCGAACCCGCAAGTATCCCTCCACAGACGGTTTTCATACTTGCCGCGAAGTGGAAGGAGCAAATCAGGAGAAGGGGATCAAATCAGCTGACGTGGGTCTTGTGACAGTGCGTAGTTGATATGGGTTACACTTGTTTTTAATGAAACTAAGATGATTGTAGCATACCTTTCCTTCTTTTGGGTGGAGGGAAATGAGACGCATTAGACTGTCCCAAACTAAGACAGAAAAGATAATGATTTTAACAGAGTTTATGACAACAGCTTTCCCTTTACCACAGTCCTCAGTAAGTCTGTGAGCCTCACTATACAGAGCCTAATGCCAAAGTAATGACATTTCATGTCTGTCCTCCTGAAGTCATGGCACGACAGTAATTTGGTATGTGTTCAACAGCTTTGAGCTTGGGTGTAGAAGCTGCTGCCTCTGCACTGAAACATCATCCTGTGTGGCAGTTTGGTTTAAGGCTTCAGTCTGCAGTCATTCACACATCTGAGTCGGTTGCTTATCCTCGGCCACACCATGTTTGTTACTGTGTGTAAATATTATTGCGTTATACAGATGTGATGTTGAGAATTACTCATTTCATTCTACCTCTTTAGCCCACTTCATCTCTGCTTGCTCCTTTGGATTTTCTTCCTGTGGACACGTGGGCTGTCTTCAACTCCTTCCAGCTCTTCGTGGTATACAAGAGGTTTTATTGTCCAAATCCAACAAGTCCATGGCAGCCCCTGAAAACTGCTCAGCATCTTCTTTGATTTATGTCCTTCAAATCCAAAACCTTGACCTCTGTCTAAAACTTTCTTATCATCTTTTCTTTATTTAACCAGTTAGTGCCAAATCTTCTTTTAACAAGTGTTTAAGAAGAGTTTTTCATAACTCTGATCTCTCATGTTACTCAGATTTTAAACCCCAACATTTCTAATCTGTAATTTATCAAAATAAAAGCCTAAAAAATGTTTACACTTCCAGCAGCAGAGACAAATAAAAAACTGTGCTGGGCGGTGCCGAACTGAGGTGTAAAACTATTTACACGACTCACTAGAACAAAACTTAGTAAGAATAAAGAGTGGGAAAACTGGTTATTACGCGCTGTCAAGCAATTTGTCTGTTGCCATTCTAATTCTCCCTCACCTACAAAATGAAATTTGAATCATTAGAATGAACTTTCGATTAATATTTCAAACTAGGGATGCACCGATACCGATACTGGTATCGGTATCGGGTATCGGGGCTGATACTGTAAAATGTGTGCGTACACATACTCGTAAAAGTTAACCGATACCATGAACCGATACTAACTTATTTCATTAATCAGAGGGTGGCATGTCATTTCTGTTGTAGTTTTTTAGATTGGCCACTAGGGGGACATCCCGCGCTAAACAGGCACAGGGTTAGGCGAGTGAGACTGGCGGCTCCAAATAAAAAAGAGAAACTGGAGGCTGCTGAAGCTAGGCTAAGCAAAATGTCAGCAGTGTGGACCGGAACAGCCAACTTTAACTCAGGTTTTGGAAAAGCGATGAAAAATGTCAAGAGAAAATCCACGGGCAGTTTAAATAACAGAGGCTCTGACTCATTTTATCGCTCTGGATGACAAGCCAATGCCGGTCGTGGAAAACATAGGATGGCACCGTCTTCTCAGCATACTCGAGCTGCGATATGAAATTCCCAACCGCCCATACATCAGGGAGATAATGGTGCCAAAACTTTCTGAAGAGGTAAAGACAAGCAGTGTGTGGGCGATGTCAGTCCTTGGTTTAACGGCACAGTGGACTGATGTTCCACGGGCAGATGAGGAGTTCATCAATGCCAAATACTTTCGTTATTTTGTTTGTTTGTTTGTTTACAATATGGACACTCTGCAATAATTTAAAAGTTTATTTTATTCTCAAACCTAATTTGTATTTATTTTATTCCAAACAGAAGTGTTTATTTATTATTCTGCTAGCTTGAGACAGTGCCAATAGTTCAGTGATATTTTGTTAAATTACAATGTGGACACTCTGCAATAATTTAACAGAAGTGCTTATTTTTCACTTGAAATTTTTTTGTGGTCATTTTTATTAAGATTTAATTTTTTATCAGCAGAGAATAAAATAAAACCTGTCTTCCAATTCATTGCATTTGTGTGTGTGTGTGTGTGTGGTAGAAGTATCGGTTTTTGTACTCTGTATCGGCAAGTACTCAGATCCAAGTATCGGTATCGTATCGGTTTGTAAAAATTGGTATCGTTGCATCCCTATTTCAAACCTTTATTGATTCACTGACACATGAATAAAATACAATAGGATAAAATAATTTTTCACATTTTTCTCACAGCAATGAAAATAGCAGCCAGTAAACTGGAGCTCGTTACTTTTTTTGTGAGTGTGACTGCACCGCACTGGCACAAAGCCTTCAGATTAAAAAAAAAACTCAAACAAACAGTAAACTGAGTTTAACAGTGGAAACAGCAAAAATCCTACATTAATAATAATCAAGTCATGTTTTCTGAGAACATTAGCGAAGCATAGACACCCTTTTTTGTTATTGTTACTTTTAACAATAAAACTTTGATAAAGCTGGATAATTTGTTGCATTTTTTTTGTCTGTCCTTTGTTCACATCACTCACGTCAAGCATGCTGTGCAACAATGAGAAACGAGGCATGCGTCAAACAAAGGGGGCGTGTCCAAATGAAGCCCGCGACGTTCTTCAGAGCACCAAACAAGCTGTTGAATGGGGCTTCGTGTGATCTGCGTTTAATAAAGTAACTGGTCGGAAATATTCGACACATTCACGCAGCTTCATCACGCCATCATCACTAAATCCAAAGTGATGACGGCGTGGCGTGGGTAAGCTGGGAGTTTTAATCATCTCTTTGGTTTTTTAGAACTGTTACTTAATATTTTTGACACAAACGGCCACCATCAACGTGAAATAAATATGTAACCACATAAAACCCCTGTTCACCAGTGTTTAACAAAACAAAGGCAAATACTTACCACAGCCAAACAACTGCACTCTGTGC